TGTGCCGCAGCAAGACGATGTGTGCAGATGTGCTTGGGGAGGGCAGTGCCAAAGAAGCCCGGCGTGGCCAACTCGGGAGTGCATGCTCCACGCCCACACGCAGGGCAAGTGGGAGATGACGATACAGTGAGCATGCTTGCTGTCCTGGGAGAGGAATTGGGAAGAGAACATCTGACTATAGAATCAGAATAGAGCTGGAAGGGACCTTGGAGGTCTTCTAGTCCAGCCCCTTGCTTAGGCAGAAGACCCTGTGTACCATTTCAGACAGGTGGCTAAACTGGACAGCCTCCAGTGGTGAATCACCCACAACTTCTGGTGGCCAGCTGTTCCACTGGTTAATTGTCCTGTCGGGAAGTTTCTCCTTATTTCCAGGTTGCTCCTCTCCTTGGTTAGTTTCCATCCGTTGCTTCTTGTCCTGCCTTCAGGGGCCTTGGAGAATAAGTTGGCCCCCTCCTCCCCTTTGCGGCAGCCCCTCAAATACTGTCATACTGCTCTCATGTCTCCCCTTCTTCTCTCTAGAGTAGCCAAACCCAAACCGTGCAACCATTCTTCGTATGTTTTAGTTTCCAGACTGCGGTGGATGGATATTGTTGGGGTTTTTTTTGAGGGGGGGGGGGGAATCTGGGGAGGGGGAGGAGGGCGGGGGGGGGGGGGGGGGGGACCGCCCCCCCCGGGTCTCTAGCCCCCCCCCCACACACACAGGGCTTGCTTTCCTTGCAGGAGGAGCCCAACCTCCGCAAGGCCTCCATCTTCCTTTTTGGGAACCTGGCCAAGTTCAGCTCCGGGAGTGGCGAGGACGCCTTCTTCGAGCAGATCCTCTACGGCCTGGTGACCTTGCTGCTCCACCTCCAGGACCCGAAGCCAGAGGTCATCAAGGTGGGTGCCCCGGCTAGGAGGGGCTCCGCTCTCTCTGCCTCTGCGGGGAAGGCCCCACCACTCCTCCCCTCTTCTTCCTCCCAGGCCTGCAAGTTTGCCTTGCGCGCGTGTGGACCCATCTTGGGCTGCGCTGGGCTGTGCGAGATGTTCCAGAAGCACCTGCACGAGGAGTGGAGCCTCCACTACGGCGAGTTCATGAACGACGCCTGCAAACACCTGGTGAGCACCTGGTCTCTGGCTTCCCGGCCGGCCTTCCTTCCCGCAGAGCATCCCGCCTGCCAGTCGCTAGGCCAGGGAAGGGGCCGGAGCAGCTACGGCACAACCGGTTCCAGAGCAAGCAGGTCCAAAGGGCGGTCCGAGGAGTTCTGGTCCCAGATGAAACCTTTTGGGGGGGGGGGGGGGGGGGATCAGGAGGAGGCCCAAAGGCACCCTAGGCTTCTCCTCCTGCTTTGTGGCTGAGCCTTCTGGGCTGAAGTGGCCCTTCTGGCCCACCTGCACTTCCGGGCCCCTCAGCACCTCCGGCTCAGTTGCTCAGCGCTGCCTTGCCCCAAAGAGGAAGTTTCGGACGACGCGGCGCTGGGTGGCCCCTTGAACGGCTGCCCCGGCCGGAGGTCTCCCTGGGTGCCAGCTGGTCTTCCTTCCCTCTGGCCCAGATGCAGAACTTCCCAGAAATGCTGAGTCGTTTGGTCAGCATCAACCTTTTCTACTTCAAGAGCAGCTGGCCCGACGTCCGAGCGGCTGCCCCCATGTTTGTAGGTGAGAAGGGCCACGTGGGCCTCCCTCCCTGGGCTTTCCTGCATGGGCCCCCGGGCTCCGTGGGACTCAAGGGGCCGCCTCTCTCCCCCTTGAAGGCTTCTTGATCCTCCACGCGGACCGAGAGCAGAGCCGGCAGCTGGACCTGGACGAACTGATGGCGGGTGAGCGAGGGAGGGAGGGAGGGAGGGAGGGGCTCCCGTGGATGCTGGGTAGGAACCGTGGAGGGAGCCGGCTGGGGGTCCCGAGAAAGGCCCCCGTCCACACTAGGGAGGGGAGCCTTCCTGGGCTTCAGGCCTCCCTGGGGGCTGCACCAGAGGGCTGGCCACTTCCACGCAGGGCACGAAGGGGAAAGGGTCCCGCATGGGGCACCGTCCTGGGCGAAGGGGGTGAGGCAGCCCCCTTGCCCTTGGCTAGCCCAGCCCGGGCTGTGGGGTGGAGGGGATCAGGGCCACGTCCCTGCGTGCAGCGCAGCTCCCTCCTCCCCTCAGGGTTGCCTCTCCGAGACCAGCCGGAGAATCCAGTTAGGTAATAAACTTTCCTGG